AACACTGTATAACATTCAGAGTCTAATTACTTTATTGCTTCATTTTTCATTCAATCTCAATGCTACATGAGTCCAGGTAACCACCTACAAAACATAGCATTTAATAAAAAGCAGATAAAAGGGCATGCAATTATTCAAAAAATTTAAATAAAATAGTTCAACAATCAGAAACAGAGCCAAACCAGAGATTTAAATCACCTTAAACAGATATGAACTCAGTCCACAAGAGATAATTACATGCCCACACTCCAATGTGAATAATTCCCTAGTATATTTGTCATACCACATGTCTATATCATTCTCTGTTCACATTTCTCTCTTCTGTACACACAAAAATAGTTTTTGTCATTCAAGAAATGGTGATTTAACCAAAGCTACAGACTTCCTTTGAGCATCTGCTTTTCTTTATGTTTTGTTCCATAATTTTCTCTCCCATTCATGACTCATTTTCTCACTGAGGTTGATCACTGTAAGAGAAGGTGGCAAAACAGTTACACAGTTAATGATCAACACATACAGAATGAATCCCTCTGCCTGTAAATGTCCTTGTTCCTACATACTGCATTAAAAATGTAAGGACGAAATTCATCAAGAAAAAGCTCACATTCAGTTAATAAATGATTATTACTCACATAGTTTCATAAGAGCTGTCTTTCGTTTTGAGGAACCGCATGGCAAAAAAAGCCCCAGCCTGCAGCACCAACACTAGGATGATTCCTCCAATGAAGCTGGACAGGTCGAAAGATGCTTGAGAGAAATCAGGGCCTGACCCAGGGGTTGTATCTATAATGAAAATGAGAATTCAGTAAATAACAACAACTGGTGTATCAGAATTTCCAATATGGTTATGTTTCCTTATTTTTCATAGTATATTCATTATGACTTATTCTTTTATGGTTTTATTACACTATATTCATATTACTGTATTGTTACTCATATAGCCTACTCAGTAAGTATTATGCATTTATATTCATAATTCTAGTTGTACTCATATTCCATTGATGTAATATATTTCCTTCATTTGACAGATAAACATTTATTAATTTTTAAATTTAAGTGATGTTTGGACAGGATGTTGGAAACTTATTCTCTGCAAAAATATTTTATATGCAAGGATGTTTGCTAAATTTGTCTTCTATTTTTGTGATACTAGAAGTTATTTTCCGAGAGCTGATATTTGCAAGAAGATTGCTTAACTCTGCTGTTTCTGCTAGAAGGAT